GAGCCTCAGTTTCATTTTCTAATGACCTTAAATGAAACAGTTTTCTTGGAGGATAGTTCTAGTACAACTTATATTTTACTGCTTTTCCCTGATAGTAAATTAATTTGTACCAAAAGTAAAGATCCCAAAGCATGTACTGTTTCTGACAATGGAAGAAAACTATTGAATTCCATCCCCACCTTTATATCTAGCCATCACTATTTCCTTCTGCAGTTACTGCAGTCAAGCTCCATAACAAACTCCATCTGGGATGTTAACAGCTGGAGCCTGCAGGGAAATGAAACATAACACTGAAGGATAAGGGCAAGAAGTGAAGGTGTGTCCGTTTTGGCTTCTCTTGGGTTCCTGAAAGTTCTTTCCGTTTGGTAGAAAGCGTGAGCATTTAGTTACAGGTCTTATAGTTTGTATACCCCTTCATCCATTCAGCATTTGAATGCCTACTCTGAGGGACATAGGGCATGGCATTGTAGTTTAAAAAACACTGTGTCTGGATTCCTGCCCCTTTTAAAATTTTACCCTGATTCCTGTTTCTTTTTTCTTTTTTTCAGGTTAATGTAAGGGTGCAAACAATTAGGTCAAAATACTTGAATGTGTTAGGTAGAGTCTCTCTCATATAGTTGTGTCCCACACTTAAAAGGTGTGCCAAACACCCCACACTGTGCCTATTCAGTGGGAGCACTCTGCCCTCCTTTCCCCTCCCTCATTCCCCCTCTCCCCAACTTGAACTGAAGCGAGCCCTATGTGGGTGTATTTTAGATCTTCTGTTGGATTCATATTAGTGTTGAGTACATTGGATAATTGCTTTTCCGTTCCTGTGTTACTTTACTAAGAAGAATGTGTTTCAACTCCATCCAGGTTAATACAAAAGATGTGAAGTCATTATCTTTTTTATGGCTGCATAGTATTCCATGGTATGCATATACCACAATTAGTTAATCCATTCCTGAGTTGACGGGCACTTGTTTCCACATCTTGATGATTGTAAATTGAGCTGCAGTAAACAGTCTAGTGCAAATGTCCTTATTATAAAATGATTTTTTTTCTTCTGGGTAGATGCATAGCAGTGGGATTGCAGGGTCATATGGGAGGTCTAATTTGAGTTCTTTGAGATTCTCCATACTTCTTTCCAAAAAGACTGTATTAGTTTACAGTTCCGCCATCAGTGTCCCTGCTCTCCACATCTATGCTAGCATCTGCAACTTCGGGACATTGTGATGTGGGCTAATCTTACTGGGGTTACGTGATATCTCAGGGTGATTTTGACTTGCATTTCTCTGATGATTAGGGACAGTGAACATTTTTTCATGTGTTTGTTGACTGTTGTCTGTCTTTCTTAGAGAACGTTCTGTTCGTGTCCCTTGCCCAGTGATAGATGGGATTGTTAGTCTTTTTTTGTTGATTAATTTGAGTTCTCTGTAGATCTTAGTTATCAAGGCTTTATTAGATTCATAATATGCAAATGAAGGTTGTCTGTTTGCTTTGGTTATTGTGCCCTTAGTGATGCAGAAGCTTTTCAGTTTAATTAAATGCCATTTGTTTATTTTTTGTTGTTATAATTGTCATAGAAGTCTTCTTCATAAAACCTTTCACCAGACTGATATCTTCAAGAGTTTTCCCTACACTGTCTTCTAGGATTTTTATAGTTTTATAAGATATAAATCTTTTATCCATCTTGAATCAATTTTTATAAGTGGTGAAAGTTGTGGGTCCAATTTAGTTTTTTACATGTGCTTATCCAGTTCTCCAGCACCATTTATTGAATAGGTCTTCTTTTCCCCAGTGTATGTTCTTGTTTGGTCTATTAAATATCAGGTGGCTGTAAGATGGTACTTTGATCTCATGGTTTTCTGTTTAGCTCCAAATGTCAGTGTCTCTAATTTTGTGTAAATACCACGCTGTTTTGATCACTATGGACTTGTATTATAGCTGAAAGTCTGGTAGGTGATTCCCCTGGCTTCTTTTTTATTACTAAGATTTGGCTTTCTGGTTTCATATGAAACAAATAACTATTTTTTCCCAAATCTTCAAAGTATGATGTTGCTATTTTAATGGGGATTGAATTGAATCTGTCTCTTGCTTTGGGAAGTATAGACATTTTAACAATATTGATTCTTCCCAGCCAGGACCATGGCCTATTCTTCCGTTTGCTAATGTCTTCTGCTATTTCTTTTCTTAGGGTTTCATAATTCTCTTTATAAAGATCCTTCACCTCTTTCTTTAGGTATATTCCTAGGTATTTCATTATTTTGAAGGTACTGTGTGGGGAATTACATCTTAGATTAGTGTTTCAACTTGGCTAATTCCTGTTTCTTCTTTCCAGTTTTTATCAACCACTATCTCTGCCCTTTAATTGTTGGTCTGGTTCCCGTTGCTTTTCCTAGCTCTTAGCCTCTGGTTCCAGTTGTCACACTACCCACCCACCTTGTAGCAGTTCCTGCTATCTGCCACCGCTCCCTTTCCGGGGGAGTGTGCCAACGACCGCC